TCTCAATGGGTGTTCATTTTCAGAAATAAGCAAGTAAGAGAATAGACTGTTTGGCGAAAAGTGGATTCCAACTCTGTAAATCAGGTAAGTAGGAATCTCGCCTACAGCATGAATAGATTTTAAAGAAAAAAATTACACATGTTATATATATACATGTTTATGCTTTAAGTATTGTATGCGATGCCATGTCATGCTGCATGCACCTTAATAAGTCAAGAGGAACTTATAAGAATGATTTCAGTTGAGTGTCGTACCAGTCTCCGACCTAATGGAGGTAACTCAAGCTCCACAAGGGAGAAAAGAAAAAAATAATAATAATGTCCTCCGACTTAAGGGAGGCATTCAAGTTATAATCACGGTGTCGCAGGGGACCTTGCAAACCCTCACGTCCCGATGATTGCGCGCAAGTGGTACGCGAGCACTCGGGCCCATCAGTAAGAAAGATAAGATAAGATAATAAGACTATGATAAGACATCATAATTAAGCATAATCAGCTCATGCATATTTATTCATGTGTACTTACAGTTATTTTGCGAGATATAGTTCCTACTTGCTGAGCGAAAGCTCAATCAGATATGTTCATGTTGTAGGTAAGAAACCTATAAGCAATTCTTGAAGGGCAATGGCGAGCGGCGGACGAATGGTGGAGATGGGAATGAATACCGATCACGCAGTTATCTTCCGCAGTTAGTTTAAAAAAAATCATGTATATATCTATATGATTCAAAGGTTTCAAGCATGTATGTTTAAAAAATATATGTACATATGTATGTTAAGAAAATCGAGGTTGTAGCTAACAACCCTAGTTTTGAGTATTTAAGTTTTAGAACGTTGCAACAGTGCATGCAACAAATAAACGAATTTTAAACATGACGATTTAAATGATTGATTTTAAACGGACTTTAAGATGTACTTGCATTAAGATTTCTCACGAAATCCATTTTAAAGTCAAATTAAATGGCCCAATTGAATTGGCTAGTTTTAGAAAGGTTTTTAAAGAGTATTTGAAACAAGAGTTCAAACACAGCTCCATTTGAAAAATATTTCTAGAAGGTTTTATCTTAATTGAAATTAAGAAAAGCTTTAAGAAATTCAGTGACTTATTCTTTTGAAATTATTGTTACGAATTATGAAAGTATTCCTTCTTATGTTTAAAAAAAAAATGTTCCACAAATTTTAAGAAATGCCAATAAGTACAAGTTAAAAACTAAGTTACGGTGGCGGCCTCATAGGAGGGTCGTCACACAAAATTTACAACTTAAATTTCAAATCTGTTTTTGAATCTTTTTCTGCAATCTAAAATCATCTTGAACCTATTTTGATTTTGAATCTTCTTTTATAATTCGAAATACTCTTAAATATGTTTTTTGAATTTTTATAAGATTGTCAATTAATTACCGACTAATTAAAATACTTAACAATAACAAACGATATTAAATGAATGCAACCACCAATGGCAACTTAACGATAATTTTTCAGCACAAACAACATCGAGCCTAGATCCGAACCCATTGCAACTATGATCAGATCCCTTGGCCACGAGTTATCGCCATCACGGCCCTCCCTACCGCGAGCCTTTCCCGTCACCGCCCTCCCCACCGTTAAACTACCCCAAGCCGACTATACTCTTTCTATGTTGTCTTAGGTTTTTGAGGTCTGCAATAACACTTTTTAGATTTTAATTTTTGATAAACGGTACATTTTTATTGTTTTATCAAAATATCATCATATATTAGGTCATATGTCTTACACTTGACATATTATGTTAAAAATTTAATGGAATATGATAGAAATAGCTTAGTTGTCAACATTTTGAGAGTTTGGAAAAGACATCAAAATATCATCGAGTCAAGAAACAGTGCAAGTTACCCTAATTTTTTCTTACCGGTGTTCTGTCAAAATGTGGTCCGAGAGCTCTCATAACTAAATAGAATAAGAAAATAATGTCAAGCCGCGGTTTGTAGTTGGTGGGTCACACTCGGACATTTTTTGCGTCGGAGGATCAATGGACTACGGCAAAATTTTGTGCAAATAAGAGCGTACCAAATGCCAAGTGTTTGCATTATTGCATCCAAAGACCTGAAGAAAACAACCCAATTTATTTGAAACCAAAAAAAAAAAAAAAACATTAGAATATATATATAGGCGGTCCGATACTGAACTAAAGCGTTATTTGTTCTTTAAAATATGTATATATTTTTTTAAAATGTGTATATTTCTTCTTAAAATATATATATATAGACGGTCCGACTAAAGCTTTGTATATTTTTTTTAAAAATATGTATATATTTTTTTAAAACGTGTATATTTCTTCTTAAAAAATATAAATTATATATTTTATCATAAAAAAATGTATATATTTTATTGTATATTTTATCGTATATTTTATCATAAAAAAATATACATATTTTATGTAAAAATATACACATCTTAGAGAGAAAATATATACAAGTTTTGCTCTAATACCGGACCAGAGATAGTTTATATATATATATATATATATATATATATATATCCCTTTCATTGGCTCTGCTTCTTCTACCCTTTCATTGGCTCTGCTTCTTCTACTCATCTTAAAATATGCATAAAGCATATACGTGGAGGCTCAGATGGACCACACTTTTCTATTTGTACAACTTTTCCAATAATATAATGTCCCTCCTCTTTCTTAATTCCACAAAATAAAAATGAAAGTAGTTTAAAACTCATTTTAAAATAATTTTATTTTTTATATAAAAATAAAAATAAAAACGTTTTTAATTTTAAAAAGAAATTATTTTTAAAAATACGTTTGATAATTTTATTAAGAGATTATTTTCAGTATAAAAAAATATAATATTGTTTCTCTCTACTTAAGAAATAAAAAAATAAAAATAAAAAATAAAAAATGACTAAAAATCATTTTTTATTTTTCTCTTATTTTACATTAAATTAAAAAATTATTTTTATTTTTATTTTTTATTTTTAATTATATCAAACACCATTTTTTTTGTACGTTTTCATTTTTTCTTAAAAAATTTAAAAAATAAAAATAAAAATAACTCTAAACACAACCAAAAGTTTTCTGCAATTTCTGCGTTATTCTTCTCATCTTTCCACGTTCATGTCTATGGTCGGTTGGATGTGGCTTTTATCAATTGGCCCACTACTTTAGTACAAAGAATCTTATAACCATTTATTATTCGTTTCTTGTCACCTTCACTTGGAATTATCCCGATAGATATCTCGACAAAAGGAGAATCCCAAAAATGCAAGTAAAGGTACACCTACACATAACAAAACCCACAAACGTAACCCTTTTTTCTTTTTCTATATATACACACACACACATATATATATATATATATTGCTTTCTTTCTTTCTAAAAAAAAAAGTTCGTGTAGATACTCAAATTGCTAGACTACTTGTAAGTTTTCTGAATGTGCAAAGTTTGTATATATATTGCTTTCTTTCTTTCTAAAAAAAAAAGTTCGTGTAGATACTCAAATTGCTAGACTACTTGTAGTTTTCTGAATGTGCAAAGTTTGTGTGTGTAAATTACTGTTACAAGGTCGAAAGGAAGTTGGAATATAAAGAATTAATATAGAACGCAAATTTGTATTGTACTCGTCATTGTGTAAATTAAGATCAAAGGCACACTCACGTTAATAGGTTTTAACTTTTAGAGTACTTCCATTCACATGCATGGTTATGCACTTTGATCGTATCTTTTCCTGTTACTTATCACATCGTTTGCACAATACTAAAATATTTTTAATTGTCAATATTGAGGGTGTACACACAGTGGCGGATTTAAGTACAGTTCAGTGTGGGTTACTACCCCCGCTCAAATTTTTTTGAAAAAAAATATTACATTTTAAAATTTTAAAATTTTACACTTAAGCCCCCATTGAAATAATATATGTCCCTATTAAAATAAATATATTTTTTTATATGTCCTCATTAAGATGATTTGTTAAAAAAATTTAGTGTACGCATCAACTGAAATAAAAAGCTGATTCTACTATTGTGTACACATTAATCCCTTTCAAAGCTTGGAACCATATGTTACTAGGATATTTGGTAGAGGAATTCGTTCCCTGATTCGAATCATAATTCGTGATTCGCTATAATATTTTTTTTTATAAAAAATACACGTAAAATTAAGTACATGTTATTCATTATTTATCGTATATATTATTGAATAATTTATTCGGATGAAAATATAATCATTAAAAACTCGTTTACACATTATATATAAATATATATACACGTTATACTAGTTATATATGAACGGATTTCAGGAAAATTGAAGGAGATGAAACTGCGTACGTGCGAAAAGACACCTCGCCATATAAATATCCCTTACCGACCTGCGAAAAGACACCTCTCCACATAAATATCCCTTACCGTAAAAATATTACCGTGAGTGAAAAAGGATCCCTATTTAAATCTTCTCTTCTTGTTTTTCTCAAAATCATTTGGAGCGTCAAATAAGCTCATGCTTTTACACGTCTTCCAATAGAGATATTTACAAATGCTGAAAACCCCACTAATTAAACAATAAATTAATTAGGACTCGTTTAATTTATGTGTTTAAATTAATAATTTTTTATTTTAATATTTGAAATTTAATTTTTTTTAAAAGAAAATACTATAACAGAATTAAAATTATAAATTTAAACGCATAAAAAAGCAGTTTTAATCTAATTTTAAGAGACGTTTAGTAAGAAAATTCATACCATAATTTAAATCATAATTCATAATTTACTATTATTTTTTTTCATAAAAAATATACGTAAATAAAAAATAATTTTAATTTTATGATACTAATTGATGAATTAAATGTTTCCTTAATAGCCCGTGGGGTCCACATATAAAACAGTGCTTAGTCATTCTGACATCCTCCAACTTTTGCAACTAGAGAAACCAAGTTCATTCTAGAAAACAAAACAGATCATCAAATATAAACAGTTCCTTCTCTTCTTCTCCTCCACTAAAAAATCTTTCACATATAAAAACCAATTCAAATCAACCAAAAAAAAAGAAAAAAGAAAAAAATTCCTCCAAGACAATATGCCTAGCTCATACTACAACGACAACAACAACTACTCTTACTGGGATTACTTCTCAATCCCTCTTCATCTTTTCATTTTCATCCTCATCGTCCTCTTCATGTTGGTCTTCTCATGGTACATAAATTATGAGTCCAGGTTCGAGGACATGATGACTCTAGCCAAGTTCTTCCTCATTCTCCTTCCTCTCCTTCTCATTATCCTCTTCCACTGCCTTCCGCTTCCCGAGAAGGACTCGCTTCACCGCGCCGGCGCAACGCCATGGGGTGTCGCCTTCGTGCTCGTCTTCCTCTTGTTCATGATCTCTCACCAGTCTTCGTTTCACGAGCGCTGGTTTCCTTTTGTGGCTAGATGATGATATTTTAGGGTCCATTATGTATTCTGATCATTAGTGTATTATATTATTATTAGTTTTGTCATACAAAGCTAGCTAATTATTCACTAACTATATATGTAGCTTGTTTTGGGTTAATTATATATGTAGCTTTACTTTTTAAGTTTGTGGTCTCTATTATAAACGAATGTTCTTCCGGATTATCTGAAAGTGCTAGTCTTTTTTGTAATGATAGGTAGCTTAATTTCCACTGGCATTAATTAACAAGCCCCCAGTTTTGTAATAAGCGCGTGAAGTGTTCACTTTTTTCATATACGGATGTATATCTAGACGTTTATAAAAAAAATATTGCACCGAACCACGAATTTTAATTCAAATTAGAATATAAATCTACCAACCAAACGAATCTTATATGTTTCTGTAAATATTATATAATGGAAGTTCCCTGGGTCACTATTCAAAAAAATGGTCTACTTATTTTGCTCATTGTTTTTTTTTTCTTTTTCTATTTTACTTGAGAAAAATATTGAGCTTATTTCTTAAAAGTGTATGGATTTAAATTTTACTCTTTATTCTTAATTAATATATTAACTAATATAAATTTTTGGTCTTAAGATTGTGCCTAAAAAAGCTCATCTATTTTGTTGTTTAGAGGGCTCCTCATGGATTAAGGTTAGCATGCACTGAGGAATAGTTCATTAAAAGTTCACAAAAGGTCAAATGAGAACACGAAACATGGATCACTTGTGTGAAATCCATAAAAACAAGCTTTTTTTGGTCATTGCAGTACATTTTGTCGTCATTAAAAGTTCATAAAAGGTCAAATGAACACACGAAACATGGATCACTGATGTGAAATCCATAAAAACAAGCCTTTTTTGGTCATTGCAGTACATTTTGTCTTCATTAAAAGTTCACATTAAACGATGGCTTTTGAGAAGCTAAAAACCGGTCTTATACTTAAGCACCAACCCAGCAAAAAAGCAGTAAAAGCAATTGCCGACGTCAAGTGATGCATTTTGCGACAATTTATAACTGTGTGGATTCACAAGTTTGCACAAAGGCACTGGTTTGACATTATTAATACAAGGTGTGTGGTGGAATTTTTGTTGATGGCTAATAAACTTTCGGAGAAGCCAAACATGGAAGTTGTACAAGAACTTTCAGTAAGGTCTTTTGAAATGTATCGAAGTGAAATTCGTGAAATTTAGTATTAATTCTAAGTAGATGTACTCTTTATAGTGGAGTAGAGTACAATAATTCTCTTGAGTTAGAAATATGACTGTCAGTAAAGGCAATGGTTGTAGCAAAGTTATGGAAAATATGTTTAGGTTTTCGTTTATCTCACCGATTCGTGTTTTTAGTTTTATGCTTTTACAGTTAAAAATTCTCAAAAAATGTCATATCTAACTGTTTTTACCATAGTCAAATACTTTCAAAAAATGTCGCATCTCAGCTTGAATTAAAAACTTGAATCCGTAAAGTATTTTGCAGTGGAGATTGTTAAGCTTTTGGTAATCTAATAGAGAAGCCTAGTCCTACATGGGTTTGGAAGCAAAACGAAAGGGCCTCTGAATCCTATAAGCAGTGCAAAGCCTTCTTTTTTATCATTCTTTTTCCAGTACAGCATGGATTGTTGTATAATATAACTACTTGTCCCTATGGCGTTCTTAAACTTTTCAATAATTTAAACCAGTATCGGCTTTCTGTGTTTGAATAAATTCTTCGTAGTGAAACTGTAATTGACAACGGAGTTAGAAACAATTAATAAATTCTTCTTTTAAGATTGCCAGTGTCAGCTTATTTTCTCATTCACTCATTCATTGTGTTGCTGACAGAGTTAAACTTTAGGTTGCGAGCTAGCTCCTGAATTATTGGAAAGGATTTTCAAGTATTGTCCATTACCGGAGAAGCTTACCGTAATACCTGAGGAGTATGTCGAGTATGTAATCAATAGACATACATGAGGAGGATTTTCAAGATTGGTCTAGTGAGTCTAACCTCTTGTTGATGGCTTCAAAATGTCTACCATTGTACTCTACCATCCTCTGATAGAGTATATCGAGTATGTAATCAATAGACATATCATCCTGCGGATGAGGTTGTTATTGTTGTTGTTGTTGTTGTTGTTGTTGTTGTTGTTATTGTTGGGGAAGTTGCTGTTGTTGTTGGGGAAGTTGTTGGAGATGAGAATATTGTTTGGGAGGCTTCGGTTGCTGGACATGGACCATTCTTGCACCAGAGTCCAAAAACGATGCAAGCTGGTCAATCTCTGCATCTTCTTGGTCGGCATAAGGCAGATACAACCTCATGCATATACTACTCATTTCTTCCTCAGTGGGATAAAGAATTGGTACGACCATTCCCTGTATATTAAAAGAACATACATTCAATAATTATTTAGGTGAAAACATATTGTAAAAAAAAAACAAATATGCCTACTTTGTAAAAAAATACCTATAAACACATCGTATTCAAACCCTTACCTTGCCACTTTGCATGAGGTTGTCTATCTGTCCAACCTCGACCAATGAAACCCGGCGTGCCTCCCATTTGAGGATTCTGGGAAGACGTCCATCAACCATCTTTGCAAACGTGGCGCCGATGGTTGGAAAAGTTTCGAATGCCCAAACATGTGTTAAATAAATTTTTTTAGTAAAATAAAAAACAATGTATTATTTACTAGAAGGCCATGATTAAAAATTATACATATAACTGTACGACATACCTGGAAGGCCCAAGGAAACCCGCATATTGAGTAGGTTTCCTTGATGCTCTTATTACCTCATTTCTGAACCCATTTGTGGAATTTCTCTTTCAGGTTCTTCCTCAAAGACCGCATAGTGCATTCAAAAGACACCCTGCCCCATGGATAGCTGTTAAAGAAATCTAAATCGTCGACGTACGACAGCCAATCCAATGGGACGGTCTTCTTCTCATCCCCAGATAGTAATACTTGTGCTAAAAAGTAAATGATATCGATCTTTTCTTTATCGCTACACTTTATCTTGTTCTCTGTGAGCAATTTCTTTAAATCAGCAACAAGTACTACTTGGGCCTTAAAATGCTCCAACAATCTTATATTCTTCGAAGCTTTCAACACCACGTCCGGCTCTGGGATTTCCCCGCAGTTCAATCCAGTGATTAAAGTAAATTCGCTCATTCCGAACCGAGTTGGCTTTCCATTAATCATGAACCACAACTCATGTTTCTTTTCTGTTTCTATCTGCCTCAAAAGCAAATAGTGTGTCAACACTCTAAAATATATCATATTTTCAGACATCGAAATCAAATGTCCTAAGGCAGATTCCTTAAAAATTGGCATTTCCGTTTCATGGTCTAAATTCTACCTTATTACCTCTAGGGCCTCGATCTTTGACTTCATAGTGACTTTCACTACGAAGTACTCATGCATAGGATCCATGATCATCCTTAGCTGTCCAATCCCAGGAAGTTCATCTATGTTGTACTTCGGGAGGTCATTCTGAAAAAAAAAAAAACACATCGGTTAGAACCGACCAAAACTACAGAACCGACCAGAATAGACCAAGAACCGATATTGAACCGACTATAACCAACCGAACCGGCCTAGAATCGGTCCAGAACCGACAGCCCATGACCTAGAATCGACCGAACAACTTAGAACAGACCAAACCGAATAGAACCGACCGAACCAACCAAAATCTGACCAAACCGACCAAGAACCGACCAAAACGATCGAACCGACCAAAAATCGACCGAACCAACCAAACCCGACCGAACCGACCTAGAACCGACCTTCCCAACTAGAACCGACCAAAATAGACTAGAACCGACCAAGAACGACTAGAACCGACCAAGAACTGACCCTTTTAAGAACCGACCTTAAACTGACATAGAACCGACTAGGGGTGGCAATTCGTGTCACGTGTCGTGTTCGTGTCGTGTTTTGATCATTTTTTTAAATTTTGCAGTCAACCCAAACACGACCCGTGACACGAAATTTTTTAAAAATCGCAACACGAACACGACACAATCACTATACGAGTTGACACGACCCGAAAATGACCCGTGACACGAAATTGACCCGTGAATCCTAAATTGACACGAAAATTGTATACTTTTATTTAGTTTTTTACATATTAGAAATAACTTAAAATTCATAACACACTAAATTACAATAACATCCATTAAAATTAAGTAAATAATAGTATAAGATTTTGAGTATAACTATCATGATATCACAAGTTCATAATAACATTTCAAATATGTAATGAAAAATATATGTATTTTTTAGTTTTTTACGAGTTTTGTGTCGTGTTCGGGTTAGGCGGGTCCAACCCAAAATTGACCCGTATTTTTCATGTCAATTTCAGGTCGATCCAATTCTGACCCGAACCTTTTTTTTCTCAACCATAACCCGTAAAATTTGTGTTGTTTTCGAGTCGTGTCGTGACCCATATTGCCGGCCCTAGAACCGACCTACAACCGACCATGAACCGACCTAGAATGAGCATGACTGAACCGACTTAGAACCGACCGTGACACGCAGTACAGTAATGTATATTCTTTGTTTTTTCTTATATTAAGTTTTGTTCTTGTAAAAATGTAATTAAAAAAAATAAAACAAGAATAAAACCTTAATGTTAATTCAGAGAATAAAATCTTAGTGTTACCTGAGGGAAAGTAGATTCCGTTGCCTCGTCGACTTGAGTTCTGGAAATAGCCGTCTTAGTTGATGAAGAATAGTTGTTTTGTGATACCATTTCAGTCGTGGTCTGGAGGCGTGGGTGTTCTGGTCGGGTCGGCGTTCAGAAGGTCGGTGGAAATGGTCAGTCGGCGTTGGGGTTGGTCGGTCGGCGTTCGAGAGGGTCGGGTCAGAGTTCTGGAGGGTCAGTCGGCGTTCGGGATGGTCGGTCAGTGTTCATGAAGATCGGTCGGCGTTTGGGGAAGGTCGGTTGGCGTTGAGGTGGTTGGTGAGAACCAGAGGAAAGAGAGAGAGAAAAGGGGGTCTAGGTAGGGAAGGAATGGAAGGAAAAAGGAAAAAAAGAAAAATAGTCAATCGGGTTGATGGTCTATTCAGTTTAAAAATTAGAAAAATTAAAATGTATACATGGATTAAAATGGAATCTATTTTTTAACACGTGAATGGTTTTTTGTTATGAAAAAAAAATCTAGATCCTCAATTTCTATTTTCTTCCCGTCTTTTTATCAAAATTTCTCGCCATTAAAGTAAAATCCCCATCATCCATCATGCCATGTTCGAGGAGAAGATCCTGTGTTCATATTTATACATATATATTATATATGTATGCATATATATATATATATATCGTACTTTCATATAGTCTTACTGTCTGTATCCCACTTCCCCTTTTCCTGGATCTTTCACTTTCCCCCCTGTATGAGGGTCTCCATTTTCTCGAGAAAGTTTCAACTTTTTTTTTTTTTATAAGTGAAAGCTAGGTTGAGTTAATGGGTGGTTTCTGATTTAAAGAATGGAGAAGGTGATTCATGAGCAGTAGAGGTCATTGGCCGAGACTCCAACTTATTCAGTTGCCTCGGTCGTTACAGTCATCGTCTTCGTTTGCTTTTTGGTGGAATGGTCGATATACAGATTTGGGAAGGTAAGAATCAATGACGAGTGATGTAAGTATGTTTTCTTGATTGGTCGCTGAGAAAATCACTAATGTGAAAGAAGATGTGATTTTTAAAGTACTATATGTCTTTCAATTTCTGGGACCTATTTGATTATTTGGGCCTGGAAAGTTTTTCTTTTGGATTAAAATGTAAAGTCTAGTTTCCTTTAGTTTCTGCGTTATTCTTCCCGTCTTTCGACGTTCGTGTCTATGGTCGGTTGGATGTGGCGTTTATCAATTGGCCCACTACTTTAGTACAAAGAATCTTAAACATTTATTATTCTTTCTCGTCACCACCAGTTGGAATAATCCCGATAGATATCTCAACAAAAGGAGAATCCCTAAAATGCAAGTAAAGCTACACATAACAAAACCCACAAACGTAACCCTTTTTTCTTTTTCTATATATATATTGCTTTCTTTCTTTCTCAAAAAAAAAAAAAAAAAAAAAAAAAAAAAAGTTCGTGTAGATACTCAAATTGCTAGACTACTTGTAAGTTTTCTGAATGTGCAAAGTTTTTGTGTGTAAAATTACTGTTACAAGGTCGAAAGGAAGTTGGAATATAAAGAATTAATATAGAACGCAAATTTGTATTGTACTTTTCATTGTGTAAATTAAGATCAAAGGCACACTCACGTTAATAGGTTTTAACTTTTAGAGTACATCCATTCACATGCATGGTTATGCACTTTGATCGTATCTTTTCCTGTTACTTATCACACATCGTTTAAACAATACTAAAATATTTTTAATTGTCAATATTGATCGGGTGGACACATTAATCCCTTTCAAAGCTTGGAACCATATGTTACTAACTTGCATTTTATATTTTTCTTCTAACTAAAATTAAGTACATGTTACTAGTTTATTAGTTGTATATATTCTTGAGTAATTAATTCCGATGAAAATCTATATTATATATATATATATATATATACACACACACACACACACACACACGTACAACTAGTTATATATGAACGGAGATTTCGGGAAAATTGAAGGAGATGAAACTGCGTGCGAAAAGATACCTCGCCATATAAATATCACTTACCGTATAAATATTACTATGAGGGTAAAAGCATCCCTATTAAATCTTCTCTTCTTGTTTTACTCAAAATCATTTGGAGTGTCAAATAAACTCAATGCTTTTACACATCTTCCAATAGCGATGTTTACAAATGCAGAAAACCCCACTAATTAAACAATAAATTAATTAGGACTCGTTTGGTTCATGCGTTTAAATCAGTGATTCGTGATTTTGACATTTGAAATTAAAATTTTTTCAAAAGAAAAACACTATAAGAAAATCAAAACTATGAGTTTAAACGCATAAAAGAAACGAGCCCTTAATTTTAATGTGTTTGGTATGAGGATTTGTGCAATGGTTCGAATCATGGTTCGTGACTCGCTACAGTATTTTCTCTCATAAAAAACACACGTAAACCGAAAATAATTCTAAATCATGATTCTAAATTCGTGAATCAAACGTCCACTACCATGGGATCCCTATATAAAACAGTGCTAGTCATTCTGATATCCTCCAACTTTTGCAACTAGAGAAACCAAGTTCATTCTAGAAAACAAAACAGATCATCAAATTTAACAGTTCCTTCTCTTCTTCTCCTCCACTCAAAAATCTTTCACACATAAAAACCAATTCAAATCAACCAAAAAAAGAAAAAAAAATCCTCCAAGACAATATGCCTAGATCATACTACAACGACAACTGCTACTACTCTTACTGGGATTACTTCTCAATCCCACTTCATCTTTTCATTTTCATCCTCATCGTCCTCTTCATGTTGGGCTTCTCATGGTACATAAATTATGAGTCCAGGTTCGAGGACATGATGATTCAAGTCAAGCTCTTCCTCATGCTCGTTCCTCTCCTTCTCCTTATCCTCGTCCACTGCCTCTCCACCGGCGGCCTTCCCTTCCTCGTTCTGCTTCCCGAGAAGGACTCGCTTCACCGCGCCGGCGGATCGCCATGGGGTGTCGCCTTCTTCACACACACACACACACACACACGTACAACTAGTTATATATGAACGGATTTCGGGAAAATTGAAGGAGATGAAACTGCGTGCGAAAAGATACCTCGCCATATAAATATCACTTACCGTATAAATATTACTATGAGGGTAAAAGCATCCCTATTAAATCTTCTCTTCTTGTTTTACTCAAAATCATTTGGAGTGTCAAATAAACTCAATGCTTTTACACATCTTCCAATAGCGATGTTTACAAATGCAGAAAACCCCACTAATTAAACAATAAATTAATTAGGACTCGTTTGGTTCATGCGTTTAAATCAGTGATTCGTGATTTTGACATTTGAAATTAAAATTTTTTCAAAAGAAAAACACTATAAGAAAATCAAAACTATGAGTTTAAACGCATAAAAGAAACGAGCCCTTAATTTTAATGTGTTTGGTATGAGGATTTGTGCAATGGTTCGAATCATGGTTCGTGACTCGCTACAGTATTTTCTCTCATAAAAAACACACGTAAACCGAAAATAATTCTAAATCATGATTCTAAATTCGTGAATCAAACGTCCACTACCATGGGATCCCTATATAAAACAGTGCTAGTCATTCTGATATCCTCCAACTTTTGCAACTAGAGAAACCAAGTTCATTCTAGAAAACAAAACAGATCATCAAATTTAACAGTTCCTTCTCTTCTTCTCCTCCACTCAAAAATCTTTCACACATAAAAACCAATTCAAATCAACCAAAAAAAGAAAAAAAAATCCTCCAAGACAATATGCCTAGATCATACTACAACGACAACTGCTACTACTCTTACTGGGATTACTTCTCAATCCCACTTCATCTTTTCATTTTCATCCTCATCGTCCTCTTCATGTTGGGCTTCTCATGGTACATAAATTATGAGTCCAGGTTCGAGGACATGATGATTCAAGTCAAGCTCTTCCTCATGCTCGTTCCTCTCCTTCTCCTTATCCTCGTCCACTGCCTCTCCACCGGCGGCCTTCCCTTCCTCGTTCTGCTTCCCGAGAAGGACTCGCTTCACCGCGCCGGCGGATCGCCATGGGGTGTCGCCTTCTTGCTCGTCTTCCTCTTGTTCATGGTCTCTTACCAGTCTTCGTTTCACGAGCGCTGGTTTCCTTTTGTGGCTAGATGACGATATTTTAGGGTCAATTATGTATTATATTATTAGTTTTGTCATACAAATAAGCTAGCTAATTATTCACTAATTGCCTTCTGTTTTGGGTTAATTATATATGTAGCTTTACTTTTTAAGTTTGTGGACTATTATAAACGAATGTTCTTCGGGATTATCTGAAAGTGCAAGTCTTTTTTGTAATGATAGGTAGCTTAACTTCCACTAGCATTAATTAATAAGCCCCCAGTTTTGTAATAAGCCCATGAAGAGTTCACTTTTTTCATACGGATGTATATCTGTTTCTGTAAATATTATATAATGGAAGTTCCCTGGGTCACTATTCAAAAAAATGGTCCACTTATTTTGCTCTTTGTTTTTTTTTTCTTTTTCTATTTTATTTGAGAAAAATACTGAGTTTTTGGATCGAATTGGAAAATGGAAAGATTTGTAAAAGTTATACCTTTCGTCACCATTTTGTGGAAAATCGTTAGGTATGAATATGTTAGACACCTGTAACTCGATTGGTGAAATAGTATCTCTCTCCCAAAAAGTATATTTTTTTTCCCGCCGCGCAAAGAAAATATTTTGTTGCGAATGAACAAAGAAAAGACAGCGATTGAAATCAAGATTTATCCGGTAGCCTATATTAAATCACAAAACTAAAGACAAAAAATAACAAAACAATATTGTATCAGACTACTTATCTTCTTGTAGTTGGATCTCCTAGTTTTTGGAATGCTCCAAATTCCACTTGAGCATCCAAATCCGGGTCAATACCAGCAAAAACATCCCTGAACAACTGAGGTATTGGTACTCCCCCTCTCAGAACCGTATATGAGAATTTCATCTCGTACGGCTCAAACATAAAGACCCAAATACAAGTTCTATCGGATATGTTTTCGAAACTTCCTAATTGTATGATGCACTCTTTTATGAAGAGAGGAAAGAATAAAAATCCGAAAGCTCTTTATTGTGGTTATAATGCCAAAATATCAAGTCAGCTCATTCATCCATATGTTGATGGGGCCTCTTGAATCTTCTATTTACCTATTTTTTTTATTGTTTTGTTATTTTTATTTGTGTGTAATGAGACTTTACTATTGTTTTCTTTATTATTGATAGGAATGAGAAAAATACTGAGTTTGTTCTTAAAAGTGTACGGATTTAAATTTTACTCTTTATTCTTAATTAATATATTGACTAATATAATTTTTTGGTCTTAAGGTTGTGCCTAAAAAAGCTCATCTATTTTGTTGTTTAGAGGGCTCCTGTGCTATGATGGATTAAGGTTAGCATGCACTGAGGAATAGTTCATTAAAAGTTCACAAAAGGTCAAATGAACACACGAAACATGGATCACTTGTGTGAAATCCGTAAAAACAATATTTTTTTGGTCATTGCAGTACATTTTGTCGTCATTAAAAGTTCACATTAAACGATGGCTTTTGAGAAGCTAAAAACCGTTGTCTTATACCTAAGCACCAACCCAGCAAAAAAACGGTAAAAGCAATTGCCGACGTCAAGTGATGCATTTTGCGACAATTTATTACTGTGTGGATTCACAAGTTTGCACAAAGGCACTGGTTTGACATTATTAATACAAGGTGTGTGGTGGAATTTTTGCTGATGGCTAATAAACTTTCGGGAAAGCCAAACATGGAAGTTGTACAAGAACTTTCAGTAAGGTCTTTTGAAATGTATCGAAGTGAAATTCGTGAAATTTAGTATTAATTCTAAGTAGGTGTACTCTTTATAGTGGAGTAGAGTACAATAATTCTCTTGAGTTAGAAATATGACTGTCAGTAAAGGCAATGGTTGTAGCAAAGTTATGGAAATCTATTTAGGCCTTCGTTTATCTCACCAATTCGTGTTTTTAGTTTTATATTTTTACAGTTAAAAATTCTCAGAAAATATCACATCTAACTGTTTTTACTACAGTCAAATGCTCTCAGAAAATATCGCATATCAACTTGAATTAAAAACTCGAATCCGTAAAGTATTTTGCAAAATGTGGAGATTGTTAAGCTTTTGGTAATCTAATAGAGAAGCCTAGTCCTACATGGGTTTGGAAGCAAAACGAGAGGGGCTCTGAATCCTATAAGCAGTGCAAAGCCGTCTTTTTTATCATTCTTTTTCCAGTACAGTATGGATTAATATAACTACTTGTCCTATGGCGTTCTTAAACTTTTCAATAATTGAAACCAGTATCGGCTTTCTTTGTGTTTGAATAAATTCTTCGTAGTGAAACTGTAATTGACAAAGGAGTTAGTAACAATTAATAAATTCTTCTTTTAAGATTGCCAGTGTTGGCTTATTTTCTCATTCATTCATTCATTGTGTTGGTGACAGAGTTAAACTTTGGGTTGCGAGCTAGCTCCTGAATTATTGGAAAGGATTTTCAAGTATTGTCTATTACCGGAGAAGCTTACCGTAATACCTGAGGGTTTGCAAATCATAGGGAAGAGTAGTAGCCAGCCCTTATTTCCGGCAGGAGATAGACATTCATGAATGGAGCAAGGACCGGAGCACTAAGACCTTGGTCCATGTGCTTCGTATGTTGATGCTAAGAAACTCAGGAATACTTAGGCTTCGTTGATTTCACCGATTCGAGTTTTCAGTATTAAGTTTTTACAGGTAAAAGCTCTAAAAAATTGTCAGATATAACTTTTTCTGTTACAGTTAAAAGCTCTTAAAAAATATCACATATTAGCTCGAATTGAAAACTCGAATCCGCGAAGCGAATGAGATCTTAAAAGTCTCGGTTTGCATCTCAACAATAAAGACCTGTTTGTTTTATATACTCAAACTCAAATTATTGATTCTGCTACACTGTTTTTTTTTTTTCACAAAAATTCAAATTTCAAACGTCAGAATCAAAAATCATAATTTGAATATACTTTATACCTTCTAAAGGGCCTTAAGTGCCTTTTTTCCTTCATTGCTGACCAGGCACAAAATCTTCAAACTTTGAAGATACCAAGTAGTGTTGTACGTGATGAAGTAGTGATTCATGAAGCTCCGAAGCTTGCCAACTTACGCTTTATAGATATGAGTCATTGTTCATCCATCGGAGCCCCTGCAGTTGAGGCAATTGGGAGGCACTGTAAGCATCTGACAGGGTTGCGAGGGAACGCATACAGGAAATTCGGGAACAACTATTTTGATGATGATGCTTTTGCAATAGCGTCAACGATGCCTGAGCTCAGGCATCTCGAGATTCGCTTTCGAAGGTACACGAGTATGAATGCTCTGTTGAGCATATCCTATCTAGCTGCACCAAGCTCGAGTTCTTAGACATAAGCGGCTCACGGATAGTGTCCCTCAGTAACATGGTGTTAGAGTATAGTGACCCAAATCAGTTTGGCCCGGCTCAAAAAGCTCGCAGTGCGACATATGTGGTGCAACTTTAATTATGAGAAATTTTGAGAGATCTGTGGTGGTGCGACATATGGACCTTTATTATTTCTTATTTTCGCATACATATATATATATATATATATATTCTGTAATATTATGGTTCTTTGATGATGCTTCGATATAGAGCCTCTTAGAACTTCTATTTTGTATCAATTTTCGACATAGTGAATTTTCTTCCTCTGTCAGTGGTTTTTTTCCCATCTTGGGTTTTTTTCCACGTTACAACTGTGTGTGTTCTCGTTCTTCGTTTCTTGTTGCCTATTTTCATAACATAATATCGTAACACAGGGTTTTTAAAATCCCTCCCACTGAGCTACAACATCATGGAAGAAATGTTGTTATACGAGGGCTTTAGCTTTCTGCATTCTCCATATGGTTGGCTTTTCATCCGTATGTTGAATGTTTTAGTTTATGCTTTTTTAGCAAGTTAAAAGATCATTTATGGTTTGTTAACAAACTTACACCTTGTTACAATAATTGGTCTTGGATTATTTATGTGAAAGTGTTGTGTGGTGTTTAAAGAAATATTGTTGAACCTTTTAAAGGGTGTGATTGACCTTTTCGTATCTAGCTAAAAGAAAAAAAAAAGTTGAACTCATTATTTCACTATAAATAGGGCGCTTACGTTAATTTTACTTTTTGAGAGTTGATGATTGGTTAAAGAATATTGAGTTTCTACTTTCCTATTCTCGAGTTTTTTTTTTTTTCATCCTTTGTTTATGTGCTTAGATTTGTTAGTGCATTTTTGTATTGGCTTATTTTTAATAAATTAGTTGAAAACTATATTTGGCAAATTGGTTGTAAATTGGCTGGAAGCTTGGCTGACACAGCAAATAGGTGATCCTTTTAAGGAAAGTTTTGGTTGTCATGTTTATTGGCTGCAAATCAAAGATCTTGATTGCTAAAAATCAAGAGTGGACTTTTTAAGATATTGATGGCTGGTGATTTTCAGGCTTGAGTATGGTCTTTTTACTGTCATGGGGCTGGTGACCTGATTTGGTGGTTAATGGATGAGATATTACCATGATTTAGTGTGCTTATTGTGGATGATTGAGGGTTGGTGATTGTGTGACGAAAAAGATAGTGGCATGAGGGTTTTGATATGAGGGCAGAATGTGTTATGCAGACACAAGGCTAAAAACTGAAAAGTTACATTTGTTCATGTGAGAATGAGATTGTAATCTTAAGTGTCGCTTGATGTGTTGCGACGAATTGTTAGAACACTTTCGAGTTGGTTCTTCGGGAGAAGATTTCTTTGGTTTCAGGAAGAAACCATCAAGTCGAGTGATGCTCGCTGATCAAGCTTTCTAAGGAGATTCTAGGCAACAACGACATCATCAAGGAGGGAGTTGTTGAGTGTGTAAGACCATTCAGTCCTTTGTAATCTTTTGAACTTAGTGGATTGATCACTGTCTGGGCGTGGCCCCGCAGAGTAGGTGTGCGCACCGAACTGCGATATCATTTTTTTGGTGTCCTTTATGTTTGTGCATTATTTTCCTACATTGCTACTTTACTGGTTTAATTTCAGATTTACTGTTAAGAACAGTGTTATAGAAAAGTGTTATAACACTCTTTGTGACACTGACCGAAAAACAGACCTAACAAGATTCTATCCTTATTTCTTTTGTGGTTCTTCATCTTCCTAATATTCTCCTTTTTGTATCTCAAGTCTCTTCATTTTACATCAGTTATTATCTAAAGTTGTCTCCCTTGGATCTGTTTTTCCACCTTTTTTATGAAAGCTGAAGCCTTTTAGAGCACAAAGGTGAAGAAGATTGGCGCTATCGTTTCAGTAACTCCAAAAAAAGAAAAGAAAAAACAAATTATAATCAGTTGGCCACACAAGTTGGTCTTATGGGTGATAGAATTTATAAGTTTTTTGATCTTGTCTCAAGTTGGTCTGGTGGGTGCTAGAATTTATCAGTTTTTTGATCTTGTGACTAAGCTTTATGATGTATTTTGTGAATCCGAAGGATTTACAAAATAGCAAGAAGCTATACTCGAAATTTTCACATGCCCCATGTTTTCACAATCTGTCCAAAACACACTAATTTAGCACGCATCGCTAAAAGAAACATTAGTGATGTGAAAATAACGGAACCTCCGGTGTAGTCTTGTTTGCCTCTACACAAAATTCTCGTTTAGCCTTGTTTACATATGCTCGAAAATTTCATACGTCCCTCCATTTTCGTTAACCTATGTCAAAAACTCACTAATTGCTTTGCTATAAAAAAAAAAACATTTTTGAAGTGAAAAAAAAAAAAAAGATTAAAACCTCCGGTTTGATCTTATTTACCTATCTTCGAAATTTTCGTACACCTCTTGTTCTCGACAACCTAGGTTAAAAGCAGACTAATTCCACATGCTTCGTTATAAGAAACATTAGTGCGAAAAGAAGGGTTAAAACCTCTTGTTTGACCTTGTTTCCTTATGTTAGAAATGTTGGCATGCCCTCCGTTTTTACACTTAGGTCTCGTTTACCGATTCGAGTTTTACTACAGTAAAAAGTTTTTAGAAATAGTCACATCTAACTTTTTGCTATTATAAAAAGTTCTCATATAAAATCATATCTTAATTCGAATTAAAAACTCGAATCAGTAAACTAAACGGGCCAATAGCTTATTCGGTGGCCTTAACATGGTTGTTATAGCGTAATAATCATATTTTTAGATTTAAAATTCAATTTTAAACTGAAATCACACTTTAAAAGGCAGGAGTCCACATTATGTAACAAAGCCAATTTTTCGTCAAAATTTTAACAGAATGAGCTTTTTTTGTTAACCTTTCGGGCGCGTTTAGAACTCGTTTTAAAATGATTTTATTTTTTGTATGAAAATAAAAACGTAAATATTTTCAATCTCAGACAGAAATTATTTTTGAAAATGCGTTTGGTAGTTTTATCAAGAGATTGTTTTCAGTATAAAAAAACTCATTAATATCTCTCTCTACTCGAGAGAGGAGAAAACGAAAACAAAAAATGAAAAAAGACAAAGTTATTTTTCATTTATCCCTTATTTTACAATAAACCCAAAAATTGTTTTCATTTTTATTTTTTGTCTTTATTGCGTCAAATGCCGTTTTAAAAACATTTGTCATTTTTTTCTCAAAAAATGAGAAAAATAAAAACATGATCAATTCTAAACACGGTCTTCATTTTTCAGGGAGAGATAGATACTACGTTGTAAAAATTATGAGACAAAATGTTACGTAAGTGATAGTTGAGAATGAATTTTTGTGGTCAATCGTTGAAAGAATTGGACTACTAGTACTAGCTAGATCTTCTAATTCTCAATAATTAAACTGCAGGGGGAGGAAATTGGCGGGCACCATGTGAGTAGGTTGGCCTTGCACATATGACTCTGTCCCAGATTGGATAGATAGCGGAGAGAGAGAGAGAAAGCCGACTACAATAATGTAGGGCTGTAAGAAATCACCCCGAACCCAACGAATCCGGCCGAACCGAGCCGACCCTATTCGAAAATCACGAGTTTTTAATTTTTTATTTAATTTTCAGTTTTAATTATGTCTAACCCGCACTGCACGGGTAGGGGCGCGGGGTGGGGTTACATGAACCTGAGGTAACCCTACCCGGCCGAACATGTTCAAAGTAGGTAAAACAATGTCCAACACTTCAAATTCTTACTTTCATAAGTTTATGGACTTTATGCATTTAAATTGTTAACTTATTTATGTTTTGGATTCACGGTTTGTGTAAAAAATGCTTGTATGTCATAGTTGTTGAATTAGGACATTCTTTATTTATATTGGAAGTGTTTGATTTCAAAGTGAGTGTTTTAATTGTTCACCTTGCATTTAGACCTCCTCTTGAAGGAAAGACATGTTCTGTTTGATAATGATTTCTTCTGTAACAAGCACAGATTAATTGACTAAAAAGTGATCATGTGATCCTTGAGATCACCAATACGAGTAACCCGACCCTACCTGAGATCACCCGAAAGGTTGTGGGTTTGTAAACTTAAAAGAGTATCGCGGTTTAAAATTTTTTCAACCCGCACTGATCGAATAGGCTCAATTTTTTGACTCAGCCCTACCATACCCGGCCGATTTACACTCCTACAATAATGTAATGGAAATATGAATGGTTGGCGGCAATTCCAATAATCTAATACTCGTATTATACGTGGTGGGCTTGTTTGGAAAATAGCAGACACTTCCATTAAACAAAGTACCAACTAATAAAATAATAGCCATTAAAGTAGGATCCCCATCATCATCATGCCATGTTCGAGGAGAAAATCCTCTGTGTTCATATTTATACATATATATTATATATGTATATATGTATGTATTCATACAGATCACCGTGTTCGCCTGCACTTTTTTAATATTAATATGTAAACAGAAACGTACTTTCATATAATTTTACTGTCTGTATCCCACTTCCCCTTTTCCTGGATCTTTCACTTTCCCCCTGTATGAGGGTCTCCATTTTCTCGAGAAAGTTTCAAAGTTTTTTTTTTTTTTTTTCAAGTGAAAGCTAGGTTGAGCTAATGTGTGGTTTCTGATTTAAAGAATGGAGAAGGTGATTCATGAGCAGCAGAGGTCACTGGCCGAGACTCCAACTTATTCAGTTGCCTCGGTCGTTACAGTCATGGTCTTCGTTTGCTTTTTGGTGGAAAGGTCGATATACAGATTTGGGAAGGTAAGAATCAGTGACAAGTGATGTAAGTATGTTTTCTTGATTGGTCGCTGAGAAAATCAGTAATGTGAAAGAAGATGATTTTTAAAGTACTATGTCTTTTAATTTCTGGGACCCATTTGATTATTTGGGCCTGTAAAGTTTTTCTTTCGGATTAAAATGTAAAAGTCTAGTTAGGAAAAGAATCAAAGATTGAGGCGAAAGAAACTTTTGCTGTTGGAACTGAATAAAGTCTAGAAGTTCATAACTATTCTCTTTTTGGGTCCCACTGATTAGAAAGCAGTTGGGAATGCAAAGAAAGAAAAAGACCAAAAACAAAAAAGGGGTTAAGATTCAATTCTTGACGTGTTTCATATAGGTTTGAGATGTTAGAAGTTTTGTCATATATGTTTGGCTCTTGAGAAAGTACGAGAAAATGTAGTAGACTTTTGATGGGAAGAAGAGAGGTACTTTAAAATGGTATTCTATAAGAAATCAGAAATTGAGAAAAAAAAAGAAAAAAAAAAAAAAGAGGAAGAAGTCAAAGTGTAAAAGCTTCTTTGCTTGGCTATTTATTTACTGTTGCTCGGAAAATGTTGGAAAAGAAATTTAATTTTGGAACCATTTGCTCTGTTGATTAGAAGCACTTAAGCGAATCAGTTTTTTTTTTTCAAAGGGACTTAAGCGAAAACGTTGTTGTTGTTTTTGTTATTTACTTATCTGACCAGCAATAAAATGGGAGTAAATTACTGGAGAAATGTTATATCTAATGTTTATGCATGTTGTGTACAGTGGTTAAAGAAGACTAGAAGGAAGGCACTGTTTGCCTCTTTGGAAAAGATTAAGGAAGGTGGATTAAACTCTCTTGTTAGGATTTTTTTTTTCTTTGTTGGCATTCTTCTTGTCTTTTTTTTTTTGGTTGACAATTTTTGGCCCCGTTCATTTCACCGATTCGAATTTTGTTACAGTAAAAAGTTCTCAGAAACAGTCACATCTAATTTTTTTGTTATTAAAAAAAACTCTTACATAAAGTCACATCTCAACTCGAATCAGCGAACTAAACGGAATTTGTTTCTCTGTAGAGCTGATGCTACTTGGACTTATATCTTTGTTTTTGGCACAATGCGCAAGATGGATTTCTGAGATATGTGTAGATTCATCGCTTTTCAACAGCCGCTTCTATATTTGTTCTGAGAAAGACTATGGCATCCATGAGAACCGCAATTCGGAAACTTCTTTCTCTTCTCTCAACGAAACACACACTCCTTCAAGTGGAATCTTTAATACACATTCTTCTCATTCTCATCAATGTGGTGAGGTAAAAATATGATTCTCCAAGTTTGAAACTTTTTTTAGAAATTTTAGACATCACTAGCTCTTAATATGTAAGTAAAGGGTCGTGGTTTTCTCGCAGGGTCGTGAACCGTTTGTTTCGTATGAGGGTCTTGAGCAGCTCCATCGTTTCCTGTTTGTTCTTGGGATCACTCATGTTTTGTATAGCTGTGTGGCTGTTGGTCTGGCCATGAGCAAGGTAATATCTTCATATCCCTCTTACCAATTTACCAACTGCAAATTGGATCCTTTTCCATTAGAAACAAAAAAAGGTCCAACTTCCAACTTCAAATGGCTGCTAACAAAATTATTTAGCCCTTGTTTGTTTCAACGACTCAAACTGTTGTTTAGGATTCAAACCTTAATTCAAGATCCAAACTGGTGTTTGGGAGAGGAAATTTTAAGGATAATTCAAACCATTAGCAATGGTTCAAGGACGACTCAAATTGTTGATTTTAGAATTAACTCCCCCGCCCCCCCTAAATTCTAACAATCTGAATTGTTGTCAACAGTCCAATAGTTTCAAATTCTATTTTTTCTCTCTTTTTTTTTTCAATCTTAAAAATGTCGTAACTTCTTAGTTTTAATTTCAATTGAGATGATTTTTTTTAATGTGTTAATAAGAAAGAGAGGAATAAATCCCCACACATATTGCATATTTTTAAATGTCACTTATGATGAGGTTTTATAAGATTTGTTATAAAACTCTAATGACAGGTTTCAACATTTATCCAACACAGTTTGGATTTTATTCCCGATTCAAATTAGAATTTATTTGCATGTCCAAACAACAGTTGGGATCAAGTTTGAATCACCACAGTTCTAACTAAAAAAGTTCAAATCTCCACAGTTTAAGTTGTTGAACCCAACAAACCCTAAATGTTTTTCAGCGAATTATAAGTTTTTGTACAGGCAACTCAATTATTCGACAAATAAGTATCATATTTTTTATTATCAATTTATTTTGACAACCAAAAAAGTCAAACTCCATTTTTGGAACCAAGACCTTCTCATGTCACACCAATTGTTCTTATTATTAACTTTAGTGTTTCTAGCTACTTTTTGTTGTTTTATCTAATACTTGGAAGCTAATTCTTTATTGTATATTGTTATTCAGATGTCAAACATGAATTATATCAGAAGTTTAAATCATTCTTGTGTCTTAAATATATCAATCGTTCCTTATTAGTGTTAGATGAAAACATGGTTCAACTTTGTTGCTGGAAATAAAGGGCATGCTTGGAAATTCATGCACAAACCAGAGAAGTGGAGATTTATCTTTTTCATATTGATTATTTTGTAGATTTACAGTTGGAGCAAATGGGAGTTTCAAGCTACTTTGCAAGGTACATAACCTCCTCGCTGAAAGCACAAATAGAATGGCCGGTCGTTCGTTGTATGAAGTTCTTAAGACCTCACTAATCAGCCTACTCTAATTATGGTCATTTTTCACTATGACAGCTATGTTTAGGAAAAGTTGCTTTCATATAATGTCTTGTTAAAACTCGTTTCAAGGTCTATTCAGAAGAGCTCTTTTGAGAAGTCGTATTTTGTGGCTTTGATTGAAAGCTCTTCCGGAGAGATAAAACACTTTTGACGAAGCATCCAAACAATCACAGAAACAGTTTTTGATCTCAGGAAGCCAAAAGTAGCTTCTAGGAAGCTCTACCAAACATGCCCATAGTTTACGATTGAAAATACTTGCCCATTAAATCAGAATTACTGTTAGTTCTCAAAACAGTTGGTGAATTGGCTTTCTCACGTTTCTGAAGCCTGTTGAATGAAATCTTGTGTTTATATAAAACATGTTCCATTTATGTCCACATTTTCTTATACTAGGAAATTTTTCCCTTGAACGTCAGCAATATAAGATCTTTATCTTTATTCACATTCACTAAACTTGTAGTTGTAAGTGCTGTAGGAAGTCGACGGCATCAAATTTTGTTCCCTACAACTGATAATTACTGAAGCCCACTTTCTTGCAATACTGGTGGTCATGGCTGTTTGTGCTTTATCAAGGTTGTTTTATATCTTTCTTTTGTTACCTTCCTTTTTTTTTCTTTTCTTTTATGATTTATACAGCAAAGAGAGACAAGGTCATGAGGCGTCAATCCACCTTTGTTTACCATCACACATCTCATCCATGGAGCAGAAATCCGGTTCTTATTTGGATGGTAATTCTTCATCATTATAACAACTTTGAGTTGTTCTTCAATACTAGTGAAAATTTCTCCATCATATATGCTGTTGTTTAATCGTTGTATTTTACATGCTCTTAGTTCAGATTGTTTCATTTTATCTAAAAATGCAACACATGAATGAGCATAGGATTCACTTGAAGCTAGCTTAAGTGGTTGGTTGCACAAGTGTGTGCGTGTATCCACCATCGAATCCTGGTGGTTTCATTTCTTGTTAGTAAAGTGGATGCCATAGGCCCCACACTGTATCAAGGGAATTCCCTTTCTGGCAAGAAAGAAGCCAAATAAGATCAAAGTTTTGTCATGTACTATCATAAGAATGATCATATATTATTATGATAACGCCAACTAATTATTCTATCATACTCAGAAGTTAGAAGTATTCCTTTGTGGACTAGCATTTCTTTTGTTGTCCCATTGAAATAGTTGTAATCAGCAGTGATTATTTTCTCTCTTGTCACCCTTAATTGACTATGTTATTGTGTGGATATTCAGTTTTTAAATATGAATTGTGGTCTATGGTGGTGCAGCTCTGCTTCCTACGACAATTTAAAAGTTCCATAAGGAAATCAGATTACTTGGCACTTCGTTTGGGCTTCATCACAGTGAGTATTTATTGTGTTTTATGCCCTTTTTGTGTCTTTTCATTTTTTGCTTGTTTTTCATTGCCCAAGCCAACCAAACCAATTAACTCTCATTCCTACATTTGTATGCCTAATCATAAATACAGTGACTATACCGAACTCATGGCATTTACTTTGTTTCATGATGATATCCAGAAGCACAAGTTGCCACAAACTTATGATTTCCACAAATATATGGTCCGGAGTATGGAAGATGAATTTAATGGAATTCTTGGAATTAGGTGTGCAATTCTCTTACCATTATTCCTTGCTTCAGAAGTAATTCATATCAACTCATATTCTTATGATTTCTTGGTGAAAAAGACTTCTTTGAAATATAAAAAATTTTGGTACGTGGAGCTTATGTGACATCTATTACAACATATGATCTTTCACCGCATTTCATCGTATTTTGTTAAGTATTCAGTTCCCTAATATTAATTTGTTCTTATAAAATTTGCAGCTGGCCACTCTGGGGCTATGCCATATTATGCATCTTCATAAACGTTCATGGTAACTTATGCATTTGGAAGGGCAATTTCAAGGACCAAGATTTCTTCCAAGTTGTTATTTCCTGAAATTTCGTAGTTGTTCAATTACTGCAGGTCTAAATACGTACTTCTGGCTTTCTTTCATCCCTGCCATAGTAAGCGAAATTCACCTCTTTTGTCTCTTCACTCTAGTGCGAAATAAGATAATACTCCTAATATAACCATTCCATCATGTTCAACGGTTTCACTTGTCTAAGCTTGTCATGGCGGTTGGAACAAAACTTCAACATGTGGTCTCCTCTTTAGCACTCGAAGTCGTCAAGCAATCGGGACCGTCTGTCGGGACTCAATTAAAGCCTAGCGATGATCTGTTTTGGTTTGGAAAGCCTGAAATACTACTGCGCTTGATACAATTCATCATATTTCAGGTGTCAGCCAATGCATGACTCATCCATGATATACATTTTCCGTTTCCTTTTTTCTTTTTTCTTTTTTTGTCCTTATTCTCTTCTGCTTCTTTCTTGTGCAGAATGCCTTTGAGATGGCAACATTTGTCTGGGCCTTGGTAAGATTTAACTAAAACCTATTGCGTTGTTTGATATTCATTCCCTTTGTATAAATAAATTCACAGTTTCAATACATTTTCATTTTATCTTGTACTTTAGTGGGGACTTGAGCACAGATCGTGTTTCATGGACAACAATTATATGATACTCATTCGGTTGGCCTCCGGGTATGTATCTTTTCTTCAGTATACAACATACTTCTATTGTAAATAAAGTATGAACATGCCATAACTATGACCGATGTATATGGTGCTGAAATGATTGCTGATGTAATAAAATATTGAAGGCATTGTTTGTATCTCTGATTAAGCTCCTTTAATCTGACTAAATTAGACTAAGAAGTTAGCATTCTAATTGCTTGTTTTGCAGTGTTATAGTTCAGTTCTGGTGTAGCTACAGCACAGTACCTCTGAATATAATTATTACCCAGGTTTGCTTCAACTCTTTACTTATCTTTCTGGATTTGAGTTCATGTCAACTGAAAACCAAAAGCGGGGTTTTGAGTTTCTTTCCCTCATGATTACAGATGGGATCTCGGTTTAAGAAAACCCTCGTCACCGAAAGCGTAAGAGAGTCACTCCATAGTTGGTGCAAGAGAGTAAAGGAGAGGTCTAAACGCGATTCCCTTCACTCACACACTATAAGGTCAGTGTGTTCACTAGAATTGACAATCGATGAGAGGGATGAAATAACCATTGCATCGGGTACTTTGTCTCGAAGCTCTTCATTCGAGTCCCAAAATCAGTTGACAGTAACATCAAGTATACTGCCAGACGAGGCTGCCCGTGAGAGTCCCGCCATTCCCCACGCATTCCGAATGGATGAGTATTTATCTGAATCTGTGAACATAAGTGCATCACAACCTCCGACCAGTGTTGGTGAAGAAGGCGGTTTAAGCAATGGAGAAGAACAGAAGGTCAAGACTCTCTTTGAGCTGTTTCAGAACACATAAAAGTGCTCGATACTTTTCGAAAACCAAATTACTCTATTGAGTACAGGCTTCGTTTGTTACCATGAAATGCAAATTATACCATTAGACTAATCCTAACAGCATATCGCGAAACACGGAGCTGGAAGCAGGCCTCCAGAACCAGATGAAAGTTAAGCTTGTTTATAGTTGCCGCTCAGTGAAATATCCCAACTGAATTATAGAATGTCTCAACTTTTATATTCTTTTACCTATTAACCTTTTTCTCATAACATTCAACCTTCCAAGGAAGTTTTGCTTTTCAACTCAGCTCATTTTAAAAAGGAATATGTTTTTGTAACACACATACAGACCAACAATCATCCAATAAAATGAAGTAAAATAAAAAGATTGATGAACGGTTTAGATGAACTCATTAGCAAAGCACTTATAAGAAAGTAGAGTTATTTCACACTAGAAATGGAAAGTTCAAAAACATTTAATAATAATAATAATAAGCTCATTCAGTAGCAAAGAAAAACTTAGCCCTGAAATACACTAATCCATCCAACCAACCAACAAAAACAAAAACAAAAACATGACAAGAGATAATAGAGTTTTGAGGAACGACAGTTGAGAAGAAACCAGAGTTAAGAAAATGGTAAGAAGAAGAAGAAATCACAATTTAAGCAGTGAGTTCCTCCTCCTTGTGGGTCTCAATGGTAACATCACACTGAGGATACGCAACACAAGTGAGGACCCAACCTGCATCAATCTGTTCATCATCAAGGAAGCTCTGGTCAGACTGGTCGAGTGTTCCTGACACAACCTTCCCAGCACATGAAGAGCAAGAGCCAGCCCTGCAGGAGTATGGCAGGTCGATACCAACCTCCTCGGCGTGGTCGAGAATGTAGACGTCATCGGGGCAATCGAACTCCTTCTCTCCGTCGGGTGTTATCAGCTTCACCTTGTATGATGCCATGGCAGTGACACGCCCTCCGCGGCTCGCCTTGAGGCCGAAGAGCGCCTGCCCCGTGTTGGGGAGTGCCCTCAGGCTGCTCACTGCATGTCTTCTCGCGAAGGAGGTGCTCACCATCGTGCCAGAGAGAGCTGCTGCTGTTGTTGTTGCCATTTTTCTCTGCGTTTCTTCTTTTTCAGTGTTTGAGGAGCTGAAGAGATATGAGAAGTTGTATTAGTGTGGTTGATAATGGGGGGGTAAGGCTTGTGGAAATAGTGTGGCTGGGATATGAGAACATAGAATCCTATCATGCCACGTGGCAGATTGTTGTGGCTCCTAGCTTTATCTTGTATTATCACCATAACCCTCCCCTCCATTTGGGAGGTTCACCCATTTCTTTTCCACTTTTCTGTTGGTGAGGACTGTGGTGAGCACAAGCTCTAGGCCACAGATATTTGTTTTTTTCTCTTTTTTTTTTCTTTTTTTTTTTTTTTATCTCAGTTGTTTCCTCACCAAAGAAGCAAAAGACCCAAAAATAAATAAATGTCGTTTCTATCTTTTTTCTTTTGTTTCAATCTTCGTCTACTTTTTCTGGCCTCAAAAGTATTTTCACTACATACATGAAAGGAAAGGTCCACATGAACTTATTTTGGTCACAAAAGGTTGGGACGTGTGAGCTGATTGTCGCAACACATGGATTAGATTAGAAGAAGTATAACCATCATAAATTTAACCATCACAAGGTTATGAAACCACAGGACTCGTAATTGTGGCCACTTTCTTGGCCATGTGTCGTAGGGTCCACAAATATTAGACTACAACTTGTCAGAATTTACACCGTTGGCTTAGTAGAAATAAAGCTAAACCTGATATATTTGGGTTGTTTTGCTGATAAGAAAATTAGACGAGGACAACCAGAAATAATATTAATTTCAAGAAAAATCTAGATGTTCCAAGTTCCAGATGAATGTAGCTTATTCTATCAAATTTAAACAAAAAAAAAATGAAAATATCCTACTGAAGTAATGGAAAAGAAAAAAAGGGCAATAAGCAGAGCTCATGATATCTAGACAAGCCAAAGGCCATTGAACAAGGAGCTCTTAGTTATACCCCTTACCTACTCCTCCTTGTAGTCCATTTATCAAACCAAAATTAACTTAAAACTCATATGAGAGCCAGAAAAATATAGAAACCAAGTCCATATCCTGGCCAGATTATATTCCTGAATATAATTATATAAGATTAAAGTTAAACAAGGGCCATAGTTTTCTCCTGCCACTTGCCAACTCAAGATGCTCATAGACATGCTTCATTTGAAGTCAATAACACAGAGAGATCATAAGACTAGATATCCAATCTCACTTCCTAAAAAGCTCCTTAAACCAAACCTAAGTTTGACAGTTCTTTTTCTTTATGGCCATTACCTGTTCTTCTTCAATTTTATGTGATAAATTATCACCACAGACAGAGCAGCTCAAGTCCAAAACCAGGCATAGAGACATATTTTTAGGTCTAAGCTGCCAGTTCAGGCTTAAACCAACATGAACCATCTTGAAAGTTTCTCTAATGCATGCACATAGGGAAGTAGGAATGGAATTATAATTTCACAAGTTCCTTATATTGACACAAGCACAAAATTCATTTTGCAAGTCATTCTACCCCTTAAGTTCAATCATACCTCTGATGAGCATGTAACAAACAAAGAGTATGGGGTAGATATGATACCAGTGCTTACATTGAGAACCTATATGTAGAAGGTCCAAAAAGAAAATAACAAATGACAGTCTAATTTTCTAACTTTCTTAAAAGTATATGAAATAATCTCTGCATTCTAAATTAAGGCTTTCACTTACAGCCGGGGAGAAAACCGAAGTTAAAAAAACAAAAAAGGAAAATTCTCAAGGCTTCCCCTACACCAGAGAAAGAAGAATACATCCCCATCCTAACATCATGTGATTTCAACCTGATAATATTGCCGTGTCTTCAACCATGACCAGGAACTTCGTCTCCAACTGTACTATCTCAACAATCAATGTGATTGGGGAAGCTCTATCAGGTTGTTCCCCTGGCGACATCTTAATCGCACTTGATGTTTCTGTAGATCCTCCTCACAAACAAATTTGAGCCCAGATAACCAACAGCGCCTATAAATTCACAAGCCGACAAAAATCCACATATCACAACAATTTTCTTGAGGCAAATGCACCTTGAACAACAACAGGAATCTAAGAATTTAGAACAATGCTATAGGGCACTCGTAGTGCTAAACACACCCACTAATAAAAGGTGGGCCCCGCAATATAGGGCCCATGTATGGGATTTACCTTCTATTAGTGATGGTGCTTAGCACCGGTGATGCCCACTAGCATCTTTCAATAATTAATTCTTATAAAGCACATGTTGTTACAAAAAGTATGTCCCCACTGGAGGCCACTAAGTGATAAGCCCCAAACACCGCCCCACCGTGGGGATCAAGGTTTAGAGTGAGTAAAACAATACAGGAAAACAAAGAGCAAACAGGTGTATATAGAAACAGGGCTTCTATGTTTCACATTTTTACTCAGGTAATAGCATATCTAAAGTAAAATAGCACCTACTACGCATAAACCTGATTAGTTAACGCAGAAAAACAAGATTGAACTCAAAAGAACAGCACCATTCCCTCCACTAGAAAGGGGAAGGAAGAGTTAAGGAAAACTTGGGAAAAAGTCTGAAAAAGAAACCAGCAGATAAGCTGAGTGATAAAACTGACATAAGATCTGATGACCTTATTAAGGACTTACCACAGAGGATTCCCAAACCAAGACAAAACATGAGGGTGTATCCAAAATAAAAGCTCGTCTGGAAGAAGCCTGACATCTTTGTCTTTACGTAGTAGTAATATATTGAATACAAGTACACATAAACAGCCGTTGAGGCAGCTGAAAAGAAAGAAGTCCATTGCCAGTGATAGTTCTCCGCATTGAGCAAGAAATATGTCCCCACAATTGTCACACAAACGGTGACAATAATTAAGATCAGGAAAACAAGAAGCATAAAACCATAAACATAGTATACCTGTTGAGCACAGAGCACAAAGTGACTACATCAGGCACATGAATATAATATAATCAAACTAAATTATGCAACACTTTCTGCCAACTCCGGAGAGGAGGTAGGGGGTGGTGGTGGACCACATTTAATATTTTGGTTTTAAAATAATACTGCTTTAGTACTTAACCTATAGTCGACAGACTGAGACATGTGCCTCAGAGGACTAAACATTATGGATCAGTATTTGAAGGACACAAAAACATATCATTGAGCCCGCTCCAAAATCCTTTTACTCCATCTTGTATAACATCCTACTGGAGTGGCTCCATGATCCTATGTGCCACATGATAAATACAGGTCGATGATTCGATCTACAAAGAGGATGCTTAAAAACAACTTTGCTTAAACAATGTACCTCAAATATCCAATTTAAGGTAAAAACTTAAAAGAATGAAAGTTTGAACTTTTTGCAATATCGTTAACCTGATACTACTTTTGAGTTTTGACTACCAAATGTATTTATTAAACCAACTATGCACACAGATTAGAGTCGCACCTTGTAATTCCAGAATGATGTGAAGACAAAATACATCTCAATAAATATGCTCCCAAAGGGTAGAAGTCCTCCCATCATTGAGACTACAGATGGTGTCAAATACCATTTCTTCTCAGGAATGGGACGAGGAATGGTCTTCACTCGGCAAGGATTGTTAGGGGCACCACTCCAATTTCTTCCAACAACCGTACCAAGAAGTGCCAAAGGAAAAGAGATGAAAGCCCAAATAACAAAGACAACCACCATTGTTCCAAAGGGAATAGCAGCTAAAGACCCATAGAAGATGGCAATTGTGTTTAAGATGAACCCAATGCCAAAGCACATGAACGGAAATAGAGATGCTGTAAGAATCATTGACTTTATCCAACTTTTACCTGAAAAAATAACACCACAATTGTACAGTGGAAATGGAGCCAAAACATGTTTAACAAGAAAAAGGAAAGAAAAGGTAATAAACTAGATCTAGAATGCAGCACAATGCTACAGAAAGCCATATAAAATTGCTTGTGCGTGTGCGCAAGCAGAGCAAGGTTTTTTTTTTTTTTTTAAGAAAAAAAAAGTAAAGTTTGAATAAAAAGAAATCTAACCAAATACGTACCACCATGGCGTGAATACATCCCACCACTAACGTAACCAGAAATGAATGACGTGAGAGCATAACATACTATAAAAGTAGTGACAATTGCTCCTCTCCTGTGGGACCAAAAGGAATAGTGTAAGATATGACAGTCCAGATGTAATACATGCATCCATGCTTTCAGACATTCGTCAAGCACATACAAAGATGAGAGCTGGTCTCAACAATATCAAGTGCATTGGCTAAGGCATAAAAAAGATTCAAAATAATGGCCATGTATCTCGCAATAAGATTTCAACATACCCGACATACAACATTCCAACAATTGCCAGTAAGATGACAAGGAGAATGAGCAATGCTAGCTGGGCACCTGTACCAACAACAGCGGAAAGTATCACCAAACTCCTAGGAGGCCGGAAAACATCCCCATGGACAAGTTTCCAGCCAGACTCTTCACTAACATCTCTTTCCTGAAAAAGAAGAAATGTTGAGAATCAACACTATTTTACAAGCTACTAGGGTTGCTCCTTGTTAAGGAAATAAAAAGAAAATACAAGCAGATAAGAGAACATTACCAAAGTTTCCAGATCATCGTCTTCTCTTGCATATTTTGCATAGTCATTCCTCAATGTACGCATTAATATCATTGACACCAGACCAGTAAGAAAGATAACCATCATGAATGAGTTAAAAATTGAGAACCAATGGATCTGCAAACAAAAAGATGATACATAGATGACTCTAAAGATAATAAAAAATGTAGATGACTAAAAGACCTGAACCAATGTTTAAAAGTGGCTTTTTCAATTGAAAATAAAGCAAGACAAGGAACAAGAAGCAAAGGAAAATAATCCCTTTCCAATTTTACCTGGTGCTCGAAAAATGGGTAGTCCAGATAAACATCAAATCGACGTGCAAAGGTCACATTGGTTTGAGTCCACTTGACAGAATACGTTAGGTCCAGTGGTCGACCCACTTCCAAAGGCTTTGGGCTCTCTTGAGTGAGATTCACATGAATTATCTGCATTAATACAAAGCTTAGCCATGATACAGATGACATATGACAGTTTCAAAAGCTAGCTACAAACATATAGAATTTTAAGAACAAACCTGATCTTTGTTGTACTTAACAATAATATTCTTATGTGTGTGAAGCACATGCTTGCCATTGTCACTATTCTTATCCGGATGCAACTCACCAACAAAGCCTAACAACATTGCAAGAAAGAGAAGAAAATATCAATCACAGGTTCGCAACTCAAAATTTCTGACGTTCAAAATCCAGCATCACAGTTGGGGAATGAAAATTTTAGATTAATCCATACCCCATAAAGGTAGATCATCTGGAGTTGTATGTAGACACCCAAGACCAAGGTAGATACCATTATAAGATGCAAAGAGATACCAAGTTAGTTGCCAAGAAAAAAGATAATAGTTAAAAAGCAACAACTCAAAATCAGCATCGAAGCTTCATATACATGAAGAAAATTCAATCAATGTGCAGCAAGAAGCATATTACTATAAGTAGCCGATTCTGCGTAGTAATAGCATTATGTGACAAGCTTATATTATGAAAGTACAGACTTACCCATGAAAAATTCAAACCAGTAACTATTCTCAATTGCATCTTTGAATTGTTTAACCTTTGCAGCATCAAGTTCAAGTTGACAAATTGTAGCCTTATCCACATTTTCTGCAAAGAAAAAAGGTCAGTAAATTGCATTTTTAACCACCTGAACATAACTTATGTAATTACCAGGATTCCTACATACGTTGGAACTTTATATTGATCTGGCTCTCGATAAGTTCATTCCCTCCCAGGACTTCACCAAGACCACCCCATTTGTGAGCAGCATTTCCAGATGGACGGCAAAAAGGAAGGCTGTAATAATTATATGTTTCTTGTGGATTGTTGTAAGGGCCAACTTTATTCACCCAAAGGGTAACTGCTTCATCTTTTTGGTACTGCATGAGTAGATAACGTTAAATTTTCGACGAATAACTGCGTTTAGTTTTCCTTCATAAGAAATTGTGAAAATACGAGAGCTGTACTTTAATAAATAACAAGTTCAACCACTGCAAACACGTACCACAATGAACAATCTAGAAAATATCGCATTCAACCATCCTAGAACCAGTTTTCCTTAAAGGAAGAAAAAACCTTGTAGGACAACTTAAAAGAAACATTTACCAAAAAGAGCAAGCCATCCAGATTCTATGGAGTCTAATACTCAATGCACTCGAGACATATAAGAGATCACCACTTAAAAACTCAAGTGCAAATCAACGTAATCAAATGAATCAGACAGAAGAAGTATTACCACCTACCTACTTGATGTAACATTTCTTAAAAGCCCTCATAAATATAACAACCATCTTGCATTTAGATATATGGGAAACGGTGCTTAATTTTAAGGAAAAGTATCAAGCCAAATGCGTACAGACACTGAACGAGGCAAAGAAAAGAAAAAAAGTTCCAACTGAAAGTCTACTCATGCATGTCTAGATTCTAGAATCTTCTTTTGCATGTCATCCAACCTAATTTAACCAGCTTTGGATGTTTCATATTGAATTATTCTGGTTTCTAATACATTCAACCTGAATCAACTTTAATAACGAGAATATTGCAATTGCAAATATGATGGCAATTTCAATTTTTTTCAATTTGAGTCCTTGTGAGTACCTAAACGTCTACAGCAGAAATAAAAGCCCAAAAATTTCGAAGGCAAACATAAGGATTTCCCAATTGATGAGCAAAGGGAGCGCACATCAAGCACCTGCTAACCAACTATAAAGTCCTAAAGCCGAAGAACAGATCTCGCGCACTTGTGTTCAGCAATTCTCTCAACTAAGCTACCATCAGAATTAGATATAAACCCAACTCAAACACCAATTGCAGGTCAAAACTCTCATCATACACGAGAAAAATTCAAATCATGGACCAAAGACTCGCGAGACCAAAACGTCCGTGGAAACTCAAAATGCACACGATTTGCGACCATAACATTCACTAATAACACCGAAAACCAATCAACCCCCAGCTATTGAATCAGTTCTTCAAATCTCAGGCACGACCCAAAAATGGCTGCAATAACAGTCATCACATAACATTTATCAAATTTCCAAGTGCAATGCCTAGCAAAGCTCGAATTTGTTCACAAAGCGGAGAAAGAGCAACAACAAAAAGTAAACACAAGAAAACCCACTTGAGATCTAACCCTCTACTTTGGCCAATTTCACGAGAACAAGCGAACAAAGAACGTATAAAGCTCTGAAGAACAATAACACAAGCAGTGACCATGATTCAATGAAATCCCGCAAAGAATAAACGAAAACAATCGAGCTCAAGAGCAAGAAAATCGCAATAATTCACAGATCGGAACGGAATTCAGGAGCAAATGAAGCTCAAAAACAAGATCTACGAGTTGGACGAGACAAGAACCGATTAAATATTAGGTTAAGGTCTTGGGCGAAGAGAGAGAAAGAGAGGGATAGAGAGAGAAGGATACCTTGTGATCTGACTCGGAGGCGAAGGCGGAGGAGAGAAGGAGAAAGGCGAAGGAAAGGAGAGAGAGAGATCGGACGGCGGGGAACATGGCGATCGCCGGCGAGGGTCGGATCTGAACGGTCAGAGATCAACGACAGTGTGTTCGTCTCCGTCTCTGTGCTCAGATTTTTCCTTATCTGCCTTCCTTTTTAAGAGCGAGAAAGTTTCAGAATGTTGCGACTTCTTAACTCTTTTTTTTTTTTTCCTCTCTCTTTTTTGTTTTTTTTTTTTTTGCTACTAAAAAAACGTTTTTCTTTTTTTTTTTCCTTGATTTATGTTATATTATACGAATATTTTTTTTTTCATATTTTGTTTCTTCTTTACCTTTTCTTGAGAATTTATTGGTTCAGTTTTATTTTATTATTTTTATTTTTGGGTTTTCACTGACGGTGCTATACGAGTAATTAGGCTAACTTACTGATGGGAGGGTATTAATTTTAATTATTTTTAGGAGTAATTGCATAAATATGTTTTTTAATTTTAATTTTTCAGTAATTCATTGCTCTGTTTTTAAAAAACTAACTATAAATGGGAAAAACTTGTTTCAGAAAAAAAAAATTCTGAGAAATATTTGAATTTTTTAGAAATATATAAAACCTAATTTTTAAAAACTTTTTTTAAAGGTTTTTACATGTTTTCTTAATAAAATATTTTTCAAGGCATATTTATGGTTTTTTTTTTTTCAATCTTTTATATACAATGCGTGAGGGATGAAATTGGAATATTGTTTAAATTTTAAATAATAACTTTGTAGTTTTTAAAAAAATTAAAAATCTTGAGAAAAACCACAAAGGTAAAGTTATGTAATTAACTCTTTTTTATTACCATGTTGACACTTAAAAGATTTATTATTTATCTGAGAATTTTATTTATACAATTATTTAATGGTTTTTAAATTTAAATTTATATTAAAAAGTAATATATGTAATAATGTAAAGATAAATATTGATAAAAAAAAATTAAGTAAGGACACGTTGTAAAAAAATTATTTTAACTAACTAAACATAAAATAAGAATACATGTAAAAAATTACTCTCATACAAATAAAATGAAAATAACATCTAATAAAAACACACACAAAAAATTAAAATGTAAAAAAGAAATTTACAAACAAAAAAAAGATAAATAAGAGTTGTCACGTAACAACCTCTAAAAGCTTTGACTGTACTGTTAGAGTTTGCATTGACCTAAACCAATATTTAATATTATTTTATCCTTTCAAACTCTTTATTCACTAGAAACGCTACTCTTTCTCTTCCTTTCAAACTCTTCCTATGTATCATTTGCGTTTGGTTCAAGAATTCGTGTCATGGTTCGAATCATAGTTCGTAATTCGCTACAGTATTTTCTCTCACAAAAAACACACATAAATCGAAAATAGTTCTGAATCATGATTCTGAATCAATTAACCAAATGTCCTCTAATTGTTAGGACTTAAGAGAGATTCCCTCAAACAAAATACATTATTTGTGTTTTTAGGCATTTATTAATTGAGTAAGAATTTTATATATATATATATATATATATATCTCATACATCCTATTGTCTATGGAGAAAAAGTTTACTAAGCAAAAAATAAATAAATAAATAAAAGAGTGTCGTGACTACTAATATCTATTCCTTAAATTATGATACTTGTGAATCAAACTTATAGCTCATATGGACTCTTAAAATACTAACTCTAATTCTAGTTACAATTTCAATCTAGATTCTAACTCCAAACTATAACTCAACTTAAATTGTAAAATTTTAATTGGTGAAGTGAACGCACCCTAAGAATATATACGTGAAAATAAAATTTATAAGGACTTGATTTCAAAATGTATTCGGTGCATATGTTTTTATTTTTTTAATCTATTATCAAATTTTGAAAAAATATTTGGTTTCAAAAAATTTTCAAAATAATTTTTTATAAAAATAAAATTTTCAAAATAATTTTTTGAACACTTAAATCTCTTTCCTCGTCCTCTTTTTTTTTTTAAATGGAAGATCCCTTTCCTTTTCCAGTATCTTCTCTTTTCTGTCTCCTTTCTTTGTCTGTTTTATGAGAAAATGAACAGAAAATAAAAAATTCTCAGATTTTCATATAAAAAGCACAATCTATTCTCAAATTTTATATTTTAAATTCTCTTTAATCTAATATAAGATTTGAAGGTGAAATCAACGAGTTTCCTATTTCTTCAACCTTAACTCTTATTTATTTTTTCAAAGGTAATTTCTTCTTTTCTCATCTTTGTTGGTTTCTTTATGCGTGCTCTCTCCTTAAAAAAAAATGTGAAATTATATTTTCAATGTTGTGGCTATGTGGTTAAACTTGAAAACTAAAAAGGGACTAAACATAAATAAATTGTAAAATGAGTGTTTTTATGCCGTTAACATTTGAAAATGGTTTTTAATTCGTTCTTATGTAAGTTAAGGCCTTAGGCAATTTTAGGACCCAACTCACTTGGTAAAAGTCACGTAATCACGACAAGCATAAAATAACCACTTGACTAGCTAAGGGTCAAATGATAAAAGTATTCCATAAGCCGGCTTTAGGATAAGTATAACAGCCAAATTAAGAATTTTTCGAAGTATGAAATTGGCTAAAAATGAAATGGGCCTATAGGATCCAAAAGTTGAATATTACTTAGGATTAATTTAGTAGTGTTGTAGATTTTAGAAAAATTATTTTTAGATGTGTTGAAGAAAGAAGCAACTGTTATAAAAAGCAGCTAAGTGTTTAGTAAATTATAATTATAGCAGCTGTGCTGGTTCCAAAATCAGTGTAATAGTGTTTGGTAAATTATGAGGTTTAATTACTGTGAACAGTTAAAAATTACGACTATATTATATTATACTATAATATAATAAATATAATATATATTTATTATTATATTTAATATAATAAAAAAACTATTATTATATAATATATTATATAATTATGATATATAATATAATAATATTATTAAATTAATAACTGAAATAATTAAA